TTTTTTTTTTTTTTTTTTTAAACAAAAGGCTAATAAAGAGATACCCACACTCCAATTGGTCCCATTCCAGGTCCTCCTCCTCCATGGGGAATGCAAAAAGTTTTGTGAAGGTTTAAGTGAGAGACATCAGAGCCGTAATCTCCAGGACGACACAGACCCACCTGTGAAGGGAATACTCTGTCTCAAAATATTCTTTATGTGCCATTTTAAGACCTGTTACTTCATTCAATAAAAATAGGTTGAAAAAGATGTTGTATGTTTTTCCCTTTTTCTTTAACATGATACCTCATAAACAAGAATTGATGTAAACAATTTTTTGCTTTAGAAATTCCTATGCATGTCTGTAAAGAATTTCTTTGACAAAGATTAGGCAGACTAAGTGAACAACTCGTACATCTTACAACAGATTTCAGGGCAAAATCAGATAAAAGAGAATTATTTTCACCTTCTAATTTTCATTACTGTTCTTGGAAACTTCACCTCCTCTCCCAACACTGTGCACCGTGTGAGGAAGCTCTATTATGGTATGAACTGGGTACTGCTGTGCTGTTTTTATTCCAAGGAAATGTAGACTCCAAGTTGTAATAAATCTACCTAGAAGATTTTATACCTGGGCATTCATATTTGCTCCGTCTAAGTAAACCTGGCCTCCATGTTTGTGAATCAGGTCACACACATCTCCGATCTCCTCTTCAAATACGCCATTGGTGGAAGGGTAAGTGATCATGATGGCTGCCAAGTTCTCTTTGTGTTTGTCCACCTCGTGGCAGGGAGGGAGAGAGAAAAAAAATGTCATTGAGGCTCCTAAATCTTCTTTGAGAAGATTTTTACAAAAATATGTAATTAAAGTCATCAAGTGTTTTACAGGTGAGAAGCAAGTCTACCAGCAGGTAGTCTAAGTCATTTATAGTCAGCAAAAGATACTGGGCTCTTTCCTTCAGCAATACCTATGGAAAAAAGAATGTTTTTTTCTGAATAAATCAGAACTTTAAATCAGGGAAGAAGGCATGGTATTAAAAGATGTAAGTATAATAGTCACTTCTGAGACCTTAAGACAAGCCAAGTGAAACATCTGGCCTTCAATGTAAAGTGATCTAATGATCATCCCCCTACTTTCAGCAATGCAGTTCTGTAACTATCATAAAAGCCTGCTTAAATATGTATTTTTGGAAATGTATCCTGCTAATCCCTTGGATTCCCAAGATTCACCTGCAGACAATCTACTCAAAAAAGTGAAAAAAGTTGCCTAGCAACACCTTCCCCCAGCAGAGGTGGGCTTGAACTAAGTGAAGGCTAAAGTGCAGTTTCAAATGCTTCACACTCATGAACATGCTTCATTCATTTCAAATACTAGATGTAGACCAAAAAGGTCTGCTATAAAAGATCCTACTGTGTAGAAAGACTTTCTGCACCAAAAATCCTCAAATTAAAGGAAGTCTACAAGTGTCACATGGCTAGTGCCTGAGTGAGCAAAAAAGGAAAGCATTACTTACCCTTTTCAAGCATGTATTCACTATTATTGCTCTATTGTCTCTCAAAGAAAAATCTGATTCAGCTGCCAACACTATTACCTGCAGAGGAGGAGTGTTCCTGCCTTGAAAATTAAAGATAATTAAACACTCACCATTGCTTTTAAATGGGAGATATCAATGCTCCCATTTTTATCCACTTCAATTGGCTGAATCTTCATCCCTGCCATTTGTGCACTTGCTGGATTTGTACCATGAGCAGATTTAGGAATAAGGCAAACCTTAGAAGGGAAAAAGAAGCAGGGACTAAAGTATAGCTAGTTAAAAAATCTTACAGCATTATGGTCTATCATCAGCTACAACTCACTATCGAAGTTTTCAAAAGGGATTCTGAGGGAATGTTTTCCATTCAGGTATCAGCACCTAAATACTCATTTGAAAAATAAAGTTTTATCTGCTGCATAAATCATATTTACAGCTGCAATTCCAGAATATTATCTCAGATAATCACATTGTAAATCCTTTCCTCTCACTCCTCTTCTTTTCAAAAGACTTTTTTTTTACAGTAATCAGCCTCCATGTGTACAATGACTTGAAAGGAAAAATCATCTAATTCCAACTTTCCACTATATCTTCAGCTGATGTACAAAGCATTTTCTTCTGTATTCTATTCAAAACAAAAATTCAGACTGAAATATTTTGGCTATGGCTAAGAAGTTTCAGACAGCTATGTACAAGCTCTCTACAGTTCATTTAAAAAGAAAAAAGAGAAGTACTTTTATTTAAATAAATGTAGGTTCTGGTTAGTGATAGTCAGAAAAATGGAGCTCAGGATATTTCCAGACATTTGTTAGGAAGTCCAACCCTTCTAAAGACAATAAATATACTTTTTTCTAAAAACAATCATTTGCATCTATTCAGTAAGGATCTTGAAACATTTGTCTACTATGCTTCTCTTGGAAGAATTAATTTACTTAACTTTATTAAGTCAGTTACTCAAACTAAGCTGTATTATGTAACTGACAGTAAGGCATTTTGTTTTCATGAGAAAACTGCACAACGGTCTCTGCCTCATGTTCCACAGAAATGCTGAGGCAAATGCTAATTACTTGCAAAGCTATTCCAAGGAACTGACCCATCTGCCTCAGCCCCGTGTTTTTTTTTTTTTTTTTTTTTTTTTTTTTTTTTTTGTGGTGAACTGCCAACGTTTGACTGCGCAGCTGTGCTGAAAGAAAACACGGGGAAACACATCTGGAGTCGTTTTAGCCGCGCAGCAGAAATGTAAAGTGAGTCTAGATTGCCATCCAGGCGTGCTGGGTTGTATCTGCAGCTGCCGGGTACAGAAGTTACGGATGAGGCAACAACGGATGGGAGCTGCCGGGTGATGTCGATACTTCTTTTTTTCCGCGAGAGGGCACCAAATCCAAATGACATCGGCTGCAAGACGCTTGCTCTGCTGTTTTACTAACTGTTTCCAGCCCAGGGGAAAAGGTCACTTCGTTGAAAGGTCAACATTTTGTGGGCTTTCATATTTTCTCATCACCACCACCACCTTTTTTCCCAAGATTAACTTGATTTTACTATAACATTTGAAATCTGTTAAGTATGAGTGACCGCAAGCAGCCCGCAGGCCCTCTCTTCTGTGCAGTTAACCTCTGGGTATTTGTGAGCGTTGAAGGATATAGACACGGAAGACCGAGGATCTTGCGGAGGGTAAGAGAAAAAACAAAGCATATGTGGATAATCAGAAAATAACTGTCCAAAGAATAAAATGTCAACCTAATTTCACTTCTCACTGAGTAAAACTACTCACAAAACAAAGCTTGTAATTGTAAAGAGCGGCTGATTCCCAAGAAGTTTGAGGTGATCTAGATGCCACAAAGAAACAAAGACAGAACAAGACAACCACTCACTGTTCAATTTTAGGTAGTTTCCTCACACAGAGATTATAGTTCCCAGGAGGCCAGGACAATGACCCTTCCGTTTTTGGAAGGCAAATGAGTTCCAAAGCCAAGTATAAAATCAGGTACAGAAAATATGGATATTAATGCATTAAGGACTTCTCTCCTACCATTTAAAGCCAACTCTATGAATGTGTGAAAGAGGAAGACCTAACTACCTTCAGATTTCCAAGAAGTTTTTGAAGTGGTCCCAAAAAGTGTTCCTAAATTAATTTCCATTGAGGTAAGTGGGAAGGTTCACACGGATAAATATTTCATGAAAACACAGGAAAGAAAACAAAGGAAGGAAAACAAAAAGATAGTAAGTTTTCACTATGGAGAAAGGTCATCCTAGTAGAACATTATAAATATCTGTGTGGGTTCCCTAGCATTTCAACTTACTCATAATTGGTTTATAATGGAGACATACAGTGAAATGCCAAATATCTTGTTAATACAAAATCACCCAGGTCACTGAAAGGACTGATTGCTTAGTTCAGAAAAGAACCCACAGTACTGAGTAATAGCATTCAAACCAGAATATACTGGAGCCAGACAGATCTAGAATATTATACAAGATAACAAATCTTAACAATACACAGCTGGGGGTCGTAGTTTTGAAACTATTTCCACTCAAAAGATCTTGCAGTGTTGGGGGGGGGGAAAGCAACTGCATTAAAAACTAGAAAGCAAATAGAGATCAAAGAAAAAGGAACATCGAAGCTCTAAGGATAACCAAAGCTATGAGATGGCTTTTTTGAGAATGATGGACAAATAACTGGAATCCAACTAGGAAGACAGAAATGAGGATGGATAAGGATACAATAAAAATCTCAGAATTAACACATGATATGCCAGCTGTGACCAGGGAAGAACTGTTCATCATCTTTCAAGAGTGAGAGGGTATTAGATGAAATTATAAGATGTGAAGTTAAAAAAAAAAAAGGCAAAAAAAAAAAGCAGCAAGCATTTCTTATGCAGAAATATGATTATATGATAAGAGGTAATGAAGCCACAGAACGTTTTCTCCAAGATACTGTGAATATCAGAAGCTTCCTCATAAGAGGTCAAGTGATCAGATTTCATTGTAGAAAAAAGCAGAAGTAGTGCCTTTGGATTCCTTTGGACCAGGAGTTCCCAAACCACGATATGTAGATGCTGGGGCCGTATGCTGGGTAATTATGGTTGTATACTTGCTATGTCCTTGTACTCCTCCTTGTAAGACGAGTCTATTAGTCTGCTAGTGGCCACTGTAAGACTGGATGCTGGGATTGACACTTTTGGTCTGGGCTAATTTGGTTGTTCTTACATCACAAACATGCAATCATCTCTACAAAATGCAACTTACTACCACCAACTTCTCACATTTACATATTTTAACTTATTTAACTTCCAACTAAACTTATACCTAAAACCTACGATTAGCACAGTCTTTCTTCCAGCCATCACAGAGTATTCAGAAAGCACCTAAAGGAACCATATCACTCTGAGATTTTTCAGCTATAACTACCTGCCATTAAATGCAAATAAAGAATTTCTTCAAACAAAAATTAGAATTAAAAATTATTTTAAACATAGTGTACTAGTAAGAATTAATTCCTCTTTGGGGTTAACTGCAGTTGGTTCACCTCTCAGGTTTACAAGAACTCACTTTTGTCAGATTACAATGGTATAGCTGAGAAGTGACTCCCTGAGGTAACATTTTCAGGTAGTTAGTATCGAAGAGAACACAAATCAAGCCTTCAGACTCTAGTGTTACTAACTGAAGATGATCCTCGGTGAATCAAAACTGATTTGCATTATCCATCTACAGTTTTTGTGGCCATTGTGAAGCAAGGTTACCTCCATATATCCTACAGAAATTTATTTGAAACAGTTTGAATGGACAAGAAGTAGGTGAACTTAGAGACTTCTATGGTAGCTACCAAGGCATATCAGAGGCTTGTCTGCTGCTTCGTTCAGGAGTGGCTACACTGGGAACCAACTGATGTTATAAGCAGTATAAGTTTTAGATAATCAGTTCCTGTTCCCTTTGTAACTGAAAACGCTGGAGAGGGAGTGTCATACCACCTTGAAAAAGCAAAAAACTGTCATTGCACATTTTATTTTGAGGCATGGACATCTGGGCCTAAATCCACCTCACTAAAGATCTGAATCACTGTTTCACATTCATGAGTAGCCTGTGTGATGACTTCAATGATTATGTCAGCCCCTTGATCACAAGCCCATCTGAAGGTTCTAGGTCTCTCCCTAAATGTCCTGATGTTTCATGGACTCATTGAGCTATGAATAACTCATCCTTAAGTTCCAAGTCCAAGTCTACCTGAGTCACTTCAATTCTGGCAGCTTGGTCTACGTGCTCGTTTTGGTGTTCTTCAGTGGTGCTGCCCTTGGGCTTGTGAGAATCTTATGACATGTACCTTTACAGTAATGCTTTCCACCTGGGCAGCAACGTCTTGCCAGAAGGCGGCAGTCCAGATGGGTTTACCTCTGCACTGCCAGTTGGTCTGTTTCCAGTAACGCAGCCACACTCAGAAGGTATTTGCCACTATCCAGGAGTCAGTATTGACATAGAGTACTGGCTGCTTTTCTCATTCAGCTACCTCTAGGGCCAGCTTCTGCAAACTGGCTCAACTTGCCTTCTCCTTTTATGGCTTTGACAACTTGTTGTGTAGCAGCCTTCCACTTTTTATGGTTTCCTACTACACAACAGGATCCACTGGTAAACCGACCATACTGCTTTTCACCTTCTGCTAACTCATTATATGGTGGCACATCTTGCACATGGGTCACTTCCTTGAGTGATGCTCTGAAATTTATGACTTCTGATGAGTCCACGATCTCTTCTAGGTTCCCCACTCAAGCCTGTTGCATGACCAACGCTACCCACTTATTCTATGCTGTGTCCTTTGAACATCCAGTATAGCACAGGCAATTGTGGTGCCAAGTTGAGCTGTGCTTCTGTACCAACAACTGCTGAAGCAGCTCAGGACCCCTTGTACATTGCTGGTATTTCTTTTTCGGTCCGTGTAGTGGGTCTTGGATCCTCAATACCCCCCCACCTCCAAAACGCTACAGGCTGGCCTTGTATTTCTCCAGGTGCTTTCTGTCAGAGGCTCCAGTTGAGCCTCAACAGGGGGCTCAAGCTCCCCGTGACCTGGCATATACATGCATTCTCCAGTAATCCACAATGTCTCGACAAGGCTGTGTTCTTTTCTGGTTACCTGGTGGGGACATAGTTATTATCTAATTGATTGCAGGGGTGTGACGTCCATGTTGCTGTCCTAAAACCTGGATCTCTCGTGCAGATCCTTTGACCTTGCTTTGGTTTTATGGCAAAATCAGCTTTCCAAATGATCTATATTATTCTTTTCCCCTTCACAAATGCTTCCTCTGCTGTGTTGCCCCATAAAATGATGTAATCCATTTACTGGACGTGTTCAGGGGCTTCCCCCTGTTTCAGTGCAGTCTGTATCAGTCAATAGACAGGTAGGGCTGTGCTTCCAGCCCTGGGGCAGCTGGTTCCAGGTGTATTGGACGCCCTGCCACATGAAAGCAAACTGTGGCCTGCACTCTGCTGCCAAAGGGATAAAGAAAAATGCTTTGGCAGTATCAGTTGTGGCATACTACGGGGCTACCTTTGACTCCTGTTCATATTGGCATTCTCCCTTCTCCCACACAGCAGCACTCAATGGTGGCATCACTTCATTCAGGCCGTGATAGTCCACTGTTATTCTCCACTCTCTGTCAAACTTTTGCATTGGCCTTATGGGACTATTTCTTGCTTGTCACTCCTTGGTTCTCCAGTAGATAAATCAACTTCCGGATGGTAAACAGGGAGTCTCGGTTAGTACGATAAAGCCACTGGTGCAACGTCATAGTTGCAACCAGCACTGGCTGTTCTTTGTCATGCAGCAACCCTACAATGGTGAGGCCAGGCAAGGTAGACAGCTGTTCAATCTTCTTTGTGTCCACTGTGGCTACACCAAAGGCCCACCAGTACCTTCTTGGGCCTTGAAATACCCTACCCTGAGGTAGTCTATGCCAAGGACACATGGATACTCCAGGTCATCACAATAGGATGCTTCTGCCATTTGCCCCCTGTTAGGCTCACCTCAGCCTCCAACACAGATAACTGTTTGCACCCCCCCAATACTCCACAAATCCTGATGGGTCCCGCCCCCTCCTACCCTGATGCCATTATGGTACACTGTGCACCAGCATCCACCAAAGCCTTATGCCCCTGTGGATCCGATGAGCCAGGCCATTGAATCCATACAGTCCGTTCAACTTTTTATGCCCTTCCTCCGCTTAGCCACAGGCAGGAACCCTTTACCCTGGTTGTATTTTTCACTCTCTGACTCCTGTGGTGTCAAACCAGAATTCCCTTCACCAGACTCAAGAGGAGAGGCATTTTCAGTCCTTATTCTGTGTCTGGGGGACTGCTGGTTGCTTCCCACCATCTTGGCAGCAACTGGTGTGGCAGCCTTCTTGATTGGTCCCTTCTTAGTGGCTGTCTTCCCCTGCAGTTCAGGTACGTGGGCTTCTAGCTTCCAGGTGAGTGCACTGTCCCTCTTCCTCGTGTCCTACCCTAGCCATGCAGGAAGAACCAGAGGGTGCCATGTGGCTCACTTTCCCTCTGGCAGGGGGAGGCTAACTCCATAGGGCACCCCTGACAGCCAAGACACTGACTGTGGGGATGAGAAGTGGAGGGATTCTCATTGAAACACCCTGGAATTAGCAAGACAGTCTCTCCACAGTTGGTATCTCAAGATGTGGCTAGTCCATCATCACCAGCGAGTTGGCATATGACACAGATGCGTTTTCCACAGACCTCCTCCAGATGGCCCATGTCTACTGGATGTCACTCAGATCTGTGGTGACCTGTTGTCCAGGTCACTGTAGACCACCTCCGCCACTGCTAATTCTCTTAGATACTGAACACCTTCCTCAGCAGGGGTTCAACTGCCTCAGAAATTGACAAGATCACCCTTGACAGGACACATCACACTCAACAGGAACCACCTCCAGAGGAGGCAGATTGTCTTCTGATTTCTTTGTTGACTCCGTGGTCCCTAGCAAGGGATCCCAGCTGCTAGGTTTCTCTACCCTCAGTTCCTGACTATGCCCTCCAGCATCCCAGCATTTGAGCAACCAGGTAGCAATATGCTTACGTGGCTGGCAGCCATAATTTTTTTTCCACATATCTTGGAGCTTGCTCAGAGTTAGGGATGGGGTGGTTTCTGCCTCTTGGATGACTTCTATCACTTCCTCCTTACATTTCCTTGCCAAAGGACTGGCTTCTTGATCAGACCCCTGCCTCCTAATTGATGGCACAGTCCTGTTGACCTCCACTGCCAGTGCTTTTCTTTACTAAGGCAATCACTACGGTTGAGGTTTGGGTCCCTGTCTCAACCATTGTGTCCTTAGAGGTAGAGGCCCACTTTTCCCTGCTGCTATAATGGTGCTAGAGAGAGGCCCTATAGGCACAGGCCAAGCCCCAAAACAGTGCTAGGAGATGCTGAGTCTCGTTGGGGTAGGCACGGTACCCACCCTCTCATCAAGTGGTGTTCCAATTCAATGGGATTGCATGCCTGTTCTGGTGTAAAATCCCAGGCTATAGGAGGTGATAACAGTCCGAGGCACCTGCCCAAACCCTCCTACACACCCTGTCATCCAGGCATCAGCTGCCTTGGGACACGTTTCTCTGTCAGCTCAACAAGAAGTTGTTTACTCTTATGCCAGGACCAAACCAGTTTCCACACACCCAACAAGAAGCCAACAATGTTAGATAATAGGATCAAACATCTTATGTAAGGATGCACAAAGAACTCAGAAGCCCACGCAACAGAGCTGGACACATCAACTCCAAAGAAGAGGGAGGTGTAAACTCTTGTTCTCTCTGCAGGGTAGCTCATGCAGCACAGCAACGGCATCACAGCCAGGGCCACATGCCAGTCCAGACATAAGGCCATTGCTTTTATCGAAATGTTTCCAAGCACAGCGAAGTACATTGATAAGCCACACAGCAAACAGCAAGAGCTGGAAGCAGCCTTTAAAAAGCCCTAGACTCTCATACACAGTAACAAGCTCTGTGTCCCACACAGGAGTCTGCCAATTAACAAATTAACATGCTCAGATCAAAACTGTCATTACCGCAAGCTTCATGCTGGGTTCTCAAAGGGACTATGATGGGTTGACCTGGTCAATGGCCAAACACCCATGCAGCTGCTCACTCACTCCCATCTCCCAATCGACAAGGAGAAAATAGAAGTAAGGTGAGAAGATGCATGGATTGAGACAATGACAATTTAACAGGGAAAACAAAAGCTGCATGCGCAAGTGAAGCAAGAAGAAAAATTCATTCATTACTTCCCATGGCCAGGCAGATGTCCAGCCACTTCCTGGAAAGCAGGGCCTCATCACATGTAATGGTTGCTTGGGAAGAAAAATGCCATAACCATGATTGTCCCCACTTTGTTCTCCTTTCCCTGAGCTTTTATTGCTGAGCATGCCATTATATGGCATAAACCATCCCTTTGGTCAGTGTGGGTCAGCTGTCCTGGCTGTGTCTCTCCCCACCTCTTGCCCACCCCCAGCCTACTCGCTTGCAGGGGCGAGGAGGGACAGGGGACAGGGGTGGGCAGAGAGGGAACGTAAAGAGAAAAAGCCTTGACCCTGTGCAAGCACCGTTCAGCAACAGCCAAAATGTCCCTGTGCTATCAACACTGCTTTAGCCACAAATCAAAGCACAGCACCATATGGGCCGCTATGGAGGAAGTTAATTAACTCCATCCCAGCCAGACCCAGTACAATCACCCTTTGAGGGAGTCCCCTTTCCTCATTCCCACTGCCTAAAGTAATGAAAGACTTTTCAGATGGTAGCCATGATCCATCAGGGAAGCAGAGAATACTGAGAGCTCGTCACAGATGACGACACACAATCTAGTTTCTCTCTAGGTGAGTCCTAGCTGCTGAATCAACTCTCCTTCTCCACTGTCCACCCAAAGTTCTACCCACACAGGTGTTGACACTTACGGTTCTATGACGTTCTCCTTTTGCATTTAAATAAGCTTTGATTGCAGCCAAACCTGCATACTCTCCTTGGGCTCCACTGCAAGAGGAACACAAACCCCGTTACACAAGCACACAAACCACAAAGTGCCAGCTCTCTACTGAAACTTCAAAATTGTCCAGCCCTAATCCTTCTCAATGGCTTTAGGCAAGTGTCAACAAATTAAAGGAAGCACATCCCATGGATTAAATTACAAATGTACAAGCATTAATTAACAGCTCTTGCCTCTTTTGCAAACACTGGATAAAAAAAGTTATGCCATTTTATGTGCTTACACTATGATATTAAATCCTTTTGGTGACTGAGTTGATCCCCACCTTCTGCACCTAGCAGAAGACTACATGCTTGACTACAGAGAGGCAAACTAATACTGAAATGCACAATAAAGTGTACACAGTGAAACATAAGAACTCTTTCAGAGACATCCTAAGTGTCAGAGCAAGTCCTTGCTGCTTATTCTGTATCAAAACTACTAATGGACATAAACAGGCTGCAGCAGTACTCATTCAGCTTTACTTTATTTATTTCAGTGAGCATGCAGATCCAAGGCATTCTTCATTAAAACCTAGTATTACATAGTGCATCAAATATCAGTTTCAACAATTATATAGTGGGCAGCTCATACAGCTTATTCCTATTTCAAATCTTGAATTTGAGCTAATAGGAGGATATCAATAACATTGCCATTTTAAGCAAACAATGGTGGAGAAACTGGCCTTCACAGAAAGAAAAACATGGGGAAAAAAGATTAGAAGAATAGAAAAGACAAGACCAAATGAAATTCTGCAGTTTTGAGAAAACAAATCTTCGTTTTTCATAACCTTGCATTCAAGGCTTCTCTTTGTCAAATTTAATTTTAGAAACTTCTTCCATTTTTCACTTGCACATTTGCTTTAGAGATGAATTTTTGGAATAACGTTAAGTAGCAAATGTTCAGAAAAAAATTCCTACCTGTTTGGTTGGAAGGAGATTTTGTCATATCCAGTAATCTCACACAGGTCCTTCTCTAAATCCTTGAAAAGCTGCTGATACCCTTGAGCTTGATCCAGTGGCACAAAAGGGTGAATGTTGGCAAATTCTTTCCATGAAATAGGCTATTAAAAAAAAAAAAAAAACCCAAACATGTGCTGCATCAAAAAATTCTGCAGACAACTCTGTTTTGTTGCTAAACTCTATGAAGGAGAGAAGCTGCCCTGTGTGGAAATAAAAATCAAAGATTTATTGTGCAGCAAGACAAATCCCCAACTCATTGTAGAATGATTTCGAGTAACTTTGTTTTAAACATTCAGAAGATTATTAAAAATCCTTAGTTTCTCCTTGTATGTCACCTACCCTTATGCTGAGCTGTAAGATCACACGGCAAACAGAGAGGAGTCATGTGGAATAGTACATAACAGTTTGTTTCATGCAGTTTTGTTGCTATCCATTTCACATAGAAGGGAATATACAAGACAAAAACCAGTGAAGGGAGAAGACATACAGCAGGCAGTGAGAGAAAGGGGACAAACAAAACGTAGTGAAAGATGAAAGCGAGAAGCCAACAGGGAGAGAGCAGAAGCAGCTCATTCAGAGTCAAAAAGTCATTCAGCAAATGAAGCAGAGCCTCAGCCAGGCTGTTTCGGACTCCAGCTCCTCACCTGGGGAAAAGGAGTGCTATCATAAGAAAAAGCAAACTGACAAAAAAGCATGAATTGCCAATTCCACCTGACTCTTTCCATATTTCTGAGAATGTGACTAAGTTTTGTAAAGCAGATAAAAGTTACATCCTGTGACACCACATGAGGGAACAGGACTGTGGTACCTAATTCCAAAAATTATTTTTAATACTTTTTTTCAGAATGGAGTCTTCAAAGCCATTCTCCTGCTGTTGTTTCACTCCTGCTGTGCTTTTTGGAGCTTTTTTCCCTCGTTGAAAAGGGAGCTGATGACTTTAGCTACTTCTGAAACTGCTTCCCCAGCTGGAGTGAAGAACAAAAGCAGTCTTTACTTCTCTACAATGATGCTGGCTAGACAGTTTAGTCATGTGGGTCTCAAGTCAGACAGTATTATTGCAACTTACTGTAAGTTCAGCTGAACTATTGAGCTTCATTGTGCAGGACCCCTAAAAATACAAACACATTTGTCAGTATTTATTAAAATATATGAGTATGTATGTAAATACCTAATTTTTTCTCTTTTTGGTAAATACCTACCAAAGGAATCATGCTGTGAACAAGGGAAATATCTTTGTTTTCTAATCTTTTCATGTACCGCACGATATTTGTCTCAGAGTGATAGCTGGAGAACACAAAATGAGCAAGCAGATTAGCTATACCAGCTGTTTGATCTGTGCTCTAAAATAGGAAAAGCCATTAAAAAAGTTTAAGACTGAGGATAATTTTTAATATATACTAGTTACTTCTTTTCAACTTGGTACTTTATGCTTGCTAATAGCAATGTGGATGAAAAATATATATTATCATTTGCTCAGAAATGCCATCAGTAAATATGGAATATAGGGCTCTAGTAAGTCTGCTGATACTATGTCCTCAAATAATAGCTTGTACAATGTAGCACATTAATGGAAAAACACATCCCCCATGTGACCATGAGTATTACTTTGCTCATTTAAAATGTGAAAACATATCTAAAAATGCTACTAAAGAGATCGTTTCAGAATAATGAATGACTGTATGAGTACAGCTACAAAACTGTCCTCAACTGACTCCAGTACCACTTTCGAAAGGAGATACTTTCAGATTCCATTAAAATATTGTATATATAGCAATTTCACAAACCTGTTGAAAACCTGATGTGTCAAGAATTTGGAAGTTCTCTTAAATGGGGTGCTAAGGATGCCTTTGGTTTCTTCGCCCATACCCTGAGCAATTAGCTCCTTTGACACAAAGAAACATGGAGTCAAACACTTTCACTTTTCACCGTCAATTTCGATCAGAACTAGCTTATACTACCAGCTTACCTCAAGATTTAATCAGCTCTTTAGGTAAAAACCCCACTTTAGTAGCATACCTACCTGTGTATATATAGCATGACAACAGCATTATATTAAAACTGGGTACAGATGTCTCAGTAGTCCTCATCTTGGAAGTATTGCTGCTAATTACCAATGACATGCAACAAAAATTCAAGTGGGAGAGAAATAATTGACCACCATGTCCTAACCCTCACAAAACAAGTAACAGCCTAAATGCAAGGTGTCCAAGCTGACTGAAAGGATTAAGTGTCACCATAAGAAAATGGCAAAACTTGGTTATATAAATCATTGTTATATCATACTGCCTCTTTAAGAGAAGATCTGAAATTACCAGTATTTAACAAATTGTCATTACATAGACACCCACTGTCCCAAGAGCAGTTTTGCTTTTCACTAAACTTCTGAAACATTCAGATAATTTAATCCATATGATCTATTGTCTACTTACAGCTGAAGACTCACAACCAAAAATCCATAATATGTCGTCTAGGTCTTTCTCATTTACAGTTTCATCAAGTGATACTCCAAGCTATGGATAAAAGCAACAGTAATTACTCAAAGCTCTTAATTACAGAAGCAGAGTACATTTGTTCTGGCTGAGAAAAAGCATTAGAGAAACACAGGAGGGAAAAAAAAGAAAAAATCAACCTACCCAACAATATGTAAATGTCACTTCATTTTATGAAATAGATACATACATTAATTTTATTTACATAAAATGTTCCAATTCCTACCTTTCCCCGCTCAACCAGATGGCTCACAAGCTTCAAGACTTGTGACCTCACTTCTAATGTTTCTAACCATTTTCCTTTAATAGGAAAAATGTCCATTTTGCTAGACCATCCCCCTCCCTCTCATCCCATTTTACAGAACATATTAGACTTTGCCAAAAGTCCTTAGTGCCTACCAAAATGTAGTTTAGATTTCAATTCATCTTTAAATATTGCCAAGGGACCTGAATTCTGGAAGTCACCTTGCATTTCATCAGTAAGTTTTAGAGTCTCTGCACTCTAGCCCTTAGTGGCATATTTAACGTGAAACAATTAGACAATCTTTTAAAATAGGTATAAAATGAAAATACAGTGATTATTTCTGGAAGTTTAGTACAATCATTTAACTTCATTCTTTATATTATCTTTATAATTGACTGATATATCTGAGCTAATTACAAGAAGTCTTAAATAATTTTGTTCTGTTTAGCAAAGGTAATGACTAGAAACTTAATGCAGAAAAAATCATACTATAAAATTTCTGAAAGGTTATGGGACTTGCTTACTCTGCCATCACCATAAATCCGAAAATTTATCTTTCGAACAGCGGCCCTGTCCAAAACCTCTTTGATTGAGCATCCACATGTGATCGTCAAGGTATCAAAGAATAGATCATGATGTAGTTTATGACCAGCTCGCCTGAGACCTATAAAAAACAGTAAATTAATTCTATTAGCTACATACTATATTGCTTGCTTACACAGTACTTACATAACAACACTATCGATCTCATAAGTAAATGCTTTTACATAACAAAGCAAAATATTCCCCTTGTGTACAGAGCAGCAAAATCACCAGCTTTTTAGTGAAATGTCACTGCACATGAAATGCCTCTAAGTCAGATTCAGGCCGAAATAATAATGGAGATTGAGTCCAGGTAAGATCCTTTTGATACATCAAATTTGTAGTATACACAGCACTTGAATTGGTATAGGAATGCAATAAGGACAAAATCAAAAGACTGGAAAGAAAAACCTTGTTATACAAATGGATATTAACTGCTATGGAGCTTGCCATAACAAAGTTGAGAGTCTTAGTGCTTTTCACAGCAGCAAAATGTCTTCCAGCTAAGCTGGCAAATAAAGCATGGATAATTGTGGCAATCGTTCCTCAATTCCCAGCATACCAGTTCTGCATAGCTCCTTCTGACAGCAATGATTGATAATCATGCCAGTGAAAAAAACCTACCAGACCACAGAGTCCAGCTGCAATTATTATTTTCCGCTACAGGTTCTGTGCTTTTGGTCAGCTGTTAAGCTTTGGGATTTCAGTGTTTGTAGAAGGTATGATACTACACCCAATTTCTCTGAAATGTTTCTCCTTATTTAATCTCCTTTATTACTTATTTTTGCTATGTTATTAATAGCCTATGCAGATTTCTGTGTGTAAAGTAGTAAGTGAAGTACAGAGCCTGCAGCTGGGAAACAGCATCTGAATCTTATCACCTAGAGACTCGCTGTGAGGACTCCTTTTAGTTTCCCAAGGAAACAGAAGTAATGCTTGCAAGCTTATCTCACATAGATATCTAATTCTTGGATGTAGCTATCAGAAGTACACAATAACACTAGCTATGAATTTTGTGTTCTCTAGAGTTGAGAGAACACACAACAGCTGGCAAAAAACCCCCATAAGTATTTAAGAAGATGTATTACTTAAGAAGGTGTAAGGATTTAAGAACAGTTGCTGCAAACATTAAATACTCACCTTCAGCCAAGATTAGAGTAGCATTGTGTACCCGTCTTGCAATATGCCTTAATCCATCAGACCCATGGTATACACCAAACATGGCTGCCATGTTAGCCAGAAGAGCCTAGAATCCAAACACAGTTCAGGACATTATTAGTATTATTATCAAAGACTACTTCATGTTAGTTTAGTGAAAAGTTTCTTTAGCACACAGGGACAACCACATATCCTCAGCTGATGCTGTATTTGATTACGTGTTGCCTATAAAATAAAAGGTGTGAAAGGCAAAATATTTTTATGAAACTGTAGCCACCAATTATGAATTTGATGCCCTTTGAAATGTAACTGTGTTAGCAATTAATATGAACTTAAATTCAACTACTGCAACAAAGACATTTGAAGACTCTCAAGTAAAGCCAGTCTCAGAGGAAACTCATTGCTTAGGATTGGTACAAGACATTTATGGAATATCTCATGAATACTAAGTAATTAGGCTCATTTTAATATTAATAATCCCTCCTCAAAATCTGGCACATCATCAAGAGCATGAGCAAAGCATTGATTGAGCAGAAAAAATCATGAACTTGTCTGGCTGAAGGTCTGTGGAGGCATACTATTTGGATAATTACTTACTTAATCATGGTATTTTCCTGTAAAGACAGCTCTTTGGCAATGTAATATTTTTGCATCAAATCACATAGAAAAAAATTAAGTTGTGAAGATTTGAACAAGTAGTTTTAAAATTTAAAAACAGATTACTTTTTTTTGCCTTGAGTGGGCAATTTCAGATCATTCAAATTCCCTTCCATTTTACTAAGATGTCTGTCCTCTTTAATTAAGAAACACTACTCAGTGGCATTTATGGTATGAGACAGATGGACTCACAACACTGCATGAATTCAGGACTAAAGTCTTTATTAAAGGAAGATATTAATACTCTCTTCAAGCAGGGTTCCATTTTTCAAAGGACTCAAAACAAATGCACAAACACCAGGATATTTCAATGTTCTTCATTTTTCTAGTAACAACTCAAAAGTAAAGCTAACTCAAACTACTGTGATTTTAGGACTATAATTTCATGGTTTAACTTGTTCCTTTCTACCACTGAAAATAAAGCATGACAAGTTACCTGTGCTGTGCAAATGTTGCTGGTAGCTTTATCCCTCCTGATATGCTGCTCTCGTGTTTGCAAAGCAAGTCGGTACACTTCCTTTCCATTTGCATCTCTAAGTCACAAGCAGAAATGTTACTTCTGTTACTTTACAATTACAGTGATTTAAGACATTGGGCTCTATGCTAACCAGAAACTAGTCATCTATCTTCAGAGACAGAAGGGTGCTGGAGAGAATAAAGCATAAGTCTGGGAAGTTGTGACATCAAATGGAGAGTGAGACTGAAGTCTAGATTTTTATTTACATCATGGCTGGCAAATGTGTCTGGTCAGGTAGGGCACACAGTGAGTTTTCTAAACATGGTACACCAAAACTTGGTATTTGCTATAAAATGCCATACATTATTGCAACTGTTTTAATTGAACACTAGTCCAGAACTTAATTTGAACAAACACTGAGAAGGCAGCATCTTTTCTAAAGATGTCAAGTAAAAGCATGTTGAGTTTGTATATAAAAATAACCCCTCCAACAAGGTTGTATGAGATAACTCAAAGGGCTCTGGCCAATCCATCCTTTAAGAGGTCCTTTAGTAGGGCTCCTAGCATGTTAGAAGTGGAAAGGTAAGATCCAATTTAATATCCTTTAAAAGTATGAAAACTTTCATAACAGCCACAAAAAGAAATGGGCAAACTTTGTACACATATATATACATGTACATAGGTGGAGGTTTGAGTAGCTAGACTACATGCCTCAAGTACTTGCGGACCAGCTGTATGATATTTAAATAATTTTTACTGTAGCAGTTTTTTGGGGATTTTGACTATACAGCTTAGTTTATCATCAGTCCATGCAGAGAGACCTGGATAGGCTGGAGAAATGGACTGAACAGGAACTTCACGAAGTTCAGCAAAAAGCACAAAGCTCTGCACCTGGTGAAAAACCCCAAGCACCAGTACATGCTACGGGCCACCCAGGTGCAAAGCAGCTTGGCAGAAACAATCCTGGAGGTCCTGGGGCGACACCAAGTTGAACACGAGCCAGCAATGTGCCCATGCAGCAAAGAAGGTGAATGGGATCCCGGGCTGCATTAGGCAAAGCTTTGCCAACAAGTCAAGGGAGGTGATCCTTGCCCTTTCCTCAGCGCTGGTGAGGCCACACCTGGAGTGCTGTGGCCAGTTCTGGGATTCCCAGTACAAGAGAGACATGGACCTACTGGAAGGAGTCCAGTGAGGGGCCAACAAAGATGTTGGAGGGACTGGAGCATCTTTCATATGAGGAAAGACTGAGACAGCTGGGAGGGTTCAGCCTGGAGAAAAGGCGGCTCAAGGATGACCTCATCAATCTACATAAACACCTGAAGGGAGGCTGCAAAGAGGACGGAGCCAGGCTTTTATCAGTAGTGCCCAGTGACAGGACCAGAAGCAATGGGTGCAGACTGAAACACAGGAGGTTCCTCCCGGACATGAGGAAACACTTTTCCACCATGACGGTGACTGAGAACTAGCGCAGGTTGCCCAGGGAAACTGTTGCATCTCCTTCCTTGGAGATCTTCAAAAGACATCTGGACACTCTCTTGGGCTACTGGCTCTAGGTCACCCTGCTTGAGACGGGGGGGTTGGACTAGATGACCTCCAGAGATCCCTTCCAACCTCAACCATTCTGTGATTCTGTGACCGAAAACTTACAAAATCCATGGCAGAAAGCTGCATTAAGAAAGTACTGTGGCTTTTTCAATTTTAACATTTTCTTTTCCAACTTTTTTGAGAGGCAGAAAGATTAAAGTAGATTAAAAATATTAAACTAGGTGTAGTCACAGAGTAGCAGTAGCATGACCTTAATAAATAGAATTACTGTTCTTTTGTAAAAGATTGTACCAGAGTTCTGATCAAAATCTGAATTGGAGATCAGATTTCAGAACTATGAGTAAAGCCTAAGAATACTCTTAGAATAAGCAAGATGATTGAAAATATATTTGAAGGAATATTACTATACAAATAGAATATTTCTAAGCTTATTGATAACTGTTAATGCCATTAGTTATTTTGGTTACTGAAGTACTTCTGAATAGTTTCTATGCTAAAGATACTCAGTCTTTCTGGTGACAATTACTTTGCATTTCTACTATTCCCAGTTAGACATTGTGTCAAAATTCAAAATATGTCACCACTAACAAGAATTAGAGGTAAGTTTTTGCACACTATTTCTCTGCTTTGTTTAAGCTTGACTAAAATTTGAACTAGATTTAAGCTCCTTCTTGATTATTTGGGAGGTTCACTGAATTTTCTACTTCTTCCCATTCATGTTTTTAATGACTGGATGTCAGAGAAAAAGGTGTAACAGTACAGAATAAGTGGAGTAAGTCAGCTTGCAAAGCTTCATGCAATTACAATTCAACATCTCTGCTGTTTCAGTTATCTCTTCATCCCACATTGCAGCAAGCATTATAAACAATTCACAGCTTCATTCCACATGAATGCAATTCTTTAAGCTTGCTTCCTAAAAATTGAAGGCAACTTTTATTCTCTCAGTTTTCAAGAAAAAAAGGTGTTTGGTACAACACCATGGTCAACTGTTAGTCATAAAGACTGCACAAGATGGTCATAATGTGCTTTATTTCTGTTTCCCTGAAGACACCAACAGTGAAGCGACCCTTTACCTTGTGACGCCCACCATCCTGCCCGGCATCATTCTCACTAGATTTTCCTTGACAGCAAAGAATGCCGCATGGGGTCCCCCGTAGCAGAGTGGCACACCAAACCTCTGGGAGCTACCCAGGACAACATCTACCCCAAACTCTCCAGGAGGCTTCAGAATACAGAGAGCCAGAAGATCAGTAGCGCAGCAGGCGAGAGCCTGAGAACAGAAGTGCACAGAGCTGTCAGCCTCTTCTAAAGGAACGGTGTTTGCTTGGGAGCAAAGTTTGAACAAGATACAATGTCAAACAGTTCCACGTAACTTGCACAGAGCTGAGGTGCAATGGTTGAAGGGTATTAATGAAGAGCAATACTTCAGACAGTAGCTCATATAATACTTAGTTTCTACACCTAGGGCTGTTTGATTTTAATCTGATGAGACAATAAAATTTACTTTACCCCATTCTGATGAGCTCTTTCAACAAGTTCAGAGAAGTCTTCCACCTTCCCTTCAGTGTCTGGATACTGAAATAATACTCCACTGACATCCTTTCCACTGAAATCCATCTCATGGGGTAATTTGAGCTCAGTAATAACACCTGTATAACTGGAAAACAAAAACATGCAGAAGACGACATAGTCAAGATGTTTTCATGGGCTTATATATGACTTTTTTCTTTAACACAGAAAGAGTTGAACCTGCTTTGCAGCGCTAAACATTGAGAGTTTCATGTCATGGTATATAGTACTGAAGAATAATTGTATTTGGTATCATCAGAAATGTGGAGCAAAGCAGAACAGATGATGCATAAGCTACTCAATATCAACATTTTTCTGCTTTAGCATGTTTCACTTTGAGAACCAAGTAATATTTTTAGAAGATGGCTACCTTAAACTGTAAACTTAAAATGGATTTAGCTTTCATTAAAAGAGAAGTTTTGCTGTCTAGGGTAATTACTTTCCTAGTTAAAAAAAATGACCAGACTGAATTCAATAACCAAAAGTATGTATTTGCACAAACAACTTAAGGGAAAATTAAATATTTTCTTTTTATCAGATGTTTAGTCTCTTTTTAAACATCTTTAATTACTTCTTTGTTGTATTTGAATGAAAAGTACAAGCAACACCAAATGTTAACAGATTTCTGCTTCTATTTTGCAAAGAAAGCATAATCCTATAATCCAAAAATATTAGGTATATGGCGAAGACATATAGATTAAAAATGATTCAATGTAAGTGAAAAGATATGGTGGAAAATGAGGAAAAACATTACTTTGCTCTAGTTTGGAGCACTGCTATAGTTTGAGGGTGGCATCGGGCATCAACATAGAACTTCCTTCTTTTGTTGTGCCTGTTAAAAAGGAAAAAAAGGAAGGGTTACATATCAAGAATACATTGTTTTCCATGGAAATAAAATTAATTGGTTTTCTAAATGTGAGTTTTCCTAAGTTAAAAGGCAGTTTTAAATTTTGGTTATCATAATCAAATTAAGTGTATGATTGAATGAAGATTCTGGTCCATTTAAAATAAGAAAGTTCATTTCAGACACTCAAATGAGATTCATATGTGACAAAAATTAAAAGAGACTATGACACAGAACAGGGAGCCTAATGCCTCCACACACACATACTCTTTTAAAGGAATACAGCTGTGGTTTTTAATACAGATTTTCAGTGTTGCCCTGCATAACCAAATATGAGGCATCAAAGTATTAAAACGGAGACTAAGACAATTGCCTCATTTTCTCTGGTAAACCTAATTTTATGTCAGACTGATGCTTTGAGCAACTGAATAGTTACAACACAGTCTCTGCTGTGTAATCTCCTTCCTGATACACAGTCCTGCAGTGACCTTTGCTCATCTCTCACATTTCATTTGATTTACAGATCCTTATCAAATGCCCCTACGATACAGATCCCTGAAAGTAAATTTGGATATACCAGTAACAGTTTCACTTTTAGCAACTTTGGACTGAAGTACTTCACTGTTTTTTTAAAGCTCCTTTTAACCACTAGTAGAAAAAAACAATTTGTATCTTCAGTGTTCATGAACACAAGAGATTCATGCCACAGGCCGTCAGGTTATGCGGCAAAAGCTCCTCTGCACAACCCCTATAGAGGCAATGGCAGGAGGGGCAGCCCAAATAACACCCTGTCCCTGCTGCTCCCAGGCTCATCACAGGAGATATCAGCCCATCAGAGACCCATGTCCACAATAACAGAGGAGCACAGAGGCCCCAGGGCAGGTAGGAACCCAAATTAATTAACTAACCCTGACAAACACTGTCTGGGCCCCCCTCTGAGGGGTAGACATTATGGGATGCAGGGGAAGAGCATTTTGGGATTGCAAGGGCTTATTATGAGATGTTTAGGGGAAAAAGGATACAGCTAAGTGATTCTGGGAGGAACAAGTGTAAGAAAATAGAGGGGTTTAGGGGGTAAACAGGCCCAGTCATATATTGCTGGTTCATGTTCTTATATCCAACTAGTGCAGTCTGTACTCTCTTGTTAAATTCCTTTCTGATTCTTTTCATGGGTGAGGGGAGTCTGTATTGGGGGAGGAGGGGTGGGTGTATATGGCTGTCTGGGTGCCAGCAACTGGAGTGAGACCATGGAGGATCCACATGTTTGTGGTGCAGCAACTGGAGTGACCGGAGTGAGTGGACTTCAGTGCCATCAACTGGAGTAACACCTCAGCCACAGGGGCCCCTGTGTCTGTGGTGGTAGCAGCTGAAGTCGGTGTGTGTCTGGGTGCCAGCAGCTGGGCTGGTACCATGGGCAGGGCAACTAGACTCTCTGCAGTATGTCCATGTCTCTCTTGTTCTGGGAAGCCCAGAACTGGACACAGCACTCCAGGTGTGGCCTCACAAGGGCTGAGAAGAGGGCAAGGCTCACCTCC